TATATATATATATGTATTTGAAGTACTGGTTTCAAAAACATTTTTATCTGAACCCCAATATATATATATATATGTATTTGAAGTACTGGTTTAAAAAAACTTTTAACCTGAACCTCAATATATATATATATATATGTGTGTGTGTGTGTATTTGAAGTACTGGTTTGAGAAAAACTAAAAAAAACAAAACTTTTTATTATCTGAGTATAGCCTCCCAGTATCTCAACGGTAAGCTTGAGAGTTTGGAGCTTGTATGCCTAAAGTTTTGGGCTGGGTCACTGAAGTGGGCATATCGCAGCTAGCCCATTGTGCAGTTTGCGCTTCAATGAAAACAACTACTGCATTATAGAAATATAATTTGATTAGAAGTATGACTGAAAATACTGATGTATATATATATTATTGAAACCAAAGCAATATTCATATTTTTTCTGGGCAGTTAATGAGATTCACATTTATTTAAAGAAACGTGGAGGAATTCAGGTTTGTATTATTTGTTAATATTTCAAATAGCTAAAATTTAACAAAAACCTCCATTTTACATTTCTTACTTGGAATCTATCCCCCATACACAAATAAGTACACCAATCATTTGTATCTGGTAACAAGACACATATCCCCCCCTAGAAATAGATGGTTACTATACTATGCGAAAACAGTAAGATAAAAACCTCCATTTTACATTTCTTACTTGGAATCTATCCCCATACACAAATAAGTACACCAATCATTTGTATCTGGTAACAAGACTCATATCCCCCCCTACAAATAGATGGTTACTATACTATGCGAAAACAGTAAGATAAAGTTTGAAAAAATTAATTTAAAAGTAGCTTTGTGATCATGTTTTTTATTGTATAAAATTCCGGAGCTGGCAAAGATAGGTCACCTTTTCAACAATGATTTGTTAAAAAATCTGTTCTGAGTTTCTAGTCGAGTAATTTCTTGTAATAAAAGTACCAGACGATCGTTTTGTGGTCATACAGGCTACTAACCAAGACAACGATCGTTGTCCAGTCGCCACACACCCTACTCTAAATATCTCATTATATCTTACCTTTTGAACTAAACACGTGGCGGTTGTCTTTTTAGTATATCTTGATATTCCTTTCCGTCAAGTCTTAGATACGTTAATTATTTAAAACATGTATGCATGTAAACAAAAACAAATAGAATACAAAGTCAAAGAATAGAATCAAAGATGAGAATGAACACTTGGGTTTTAATAACCAGTTAGTTACTCCTTTTTTATATTAATAACCACTAGTTAATAATTGCTTTTACTTTAAATAATTCAATTATTAATTAAAACACAGATGATAATTATAACAATGAGTAAGTAATAATATTTCTAACTTGAAAGCATATTAAATATGTCATTATTAATGACTGACGTGGTGTATGTTACACTGCAAAACTAATATGTTTAAATTTTCATATTACATTGTTATTAATTAGATAATTATCATACCAAGAAAAATTATCTAATCTATCTATCCCGCAAGAAAGGAAGAACCGAAGAAAGTAATTATTAATGAATCCATTAAGAATATGAAACCTTTTTTCTTAGGGGTAAATTCGGAACAGTTTACAAATGCAAAGAGAAGGCAACAGGTCGTGTCCTGGCGGCAAAATTTATAATGACTAGCAGAGCCGATGACAGGAAAGACGTAGAGAGGGAGGTGGAAATCATGAGGATTTTACAACACCCTCGACTTCTCCAGCTTTACGATGCTTATGACGATGGAAAAAAACAGATGTGTTTAGTATTGGAGTTGTAAGTTACAGCCTTAACTTGTATGATGTATTGTTCTTTAAGTGAAAGATTATGATCAAACGAATCTGAGGAACTAATAATTACCAGAGTTGCTCGTACGAACACTATTAAAAAAGGAATAAAAATGACCTTAGGTCTTCGAACGTTTCCTAGTTCTATTGTCTTAAAATGGTTTTAGATTGCGCGTTATTATGATACTTTCAGGTCCTTTAAAGTATAAAACTTAAATACAAACTTAAGAATAAAAATGGTTGTTAAAACAAATAACTGCAGGTCCAACGTAATAAGGGTTCTTTAGTATAGGTTCTTACACCATACATGATACTTAATTTTGCATAATTAATAAAAATCTCTTTGATTTTTTTTACTTCCACGTTGTTAATCTGCATACTTTGTAATGGCTATGGAATCCTATTTGTTTTTTGTTTTTTTAATTATAAAGAAATGTAAACAAATTAAAGTAAAATTACACTCGATCGTTCTACTGGATTTGCCTCCCATCCATCAATTACTCTACAAGGATATTTGCTTAAATTAAACTTTTACTTTGAAGATAAAAAAAAGGAACGTATTTGGCATGCGTTACACATAAAAATATCGCTCCAGCAAGAAATGTCAGGATCAGAATAGAAAAAAAAAAGTTTTATCTATGTATCTAAGGTTACGTAACATGCATGCATATATCTGTTCGTTTTTCTGTTAAGTGATTCTATAAATGTAATCAAGTGAACTTAAATATTATACCTTGCTTTTCCGAGGCTTAGCATCGAAAGACTTGTTCAAAAACACAGTTGCAGTTGTAATATTATATACTATGAGATCCAACTAAGTCTTTACAAGTTCGGTTTAATATTAAGCAAAGTGTGAATAGAAGTGAAAGTGTTTTAAAATTGGACTGATCACTTTCTATCTTGCGTCAACCCAAGTTTGTTAAAATAATGCATGTTTGGTACGCTGCCAAAATGGTTTGAATTGCATGACTCGTGTCTCATTTTTTGTTTTTAGGGCAGCTAAATAAAGTGAGAAAATGAACAAGACGACAATTTCTGTTGGGAAGGGGAGGAACTTTGACATTACAAAATAAAAATAAGGTTTTGGAAATGATGCGAAACACGAAGAGCCCAAATCGTGTTGCTCTTTTTTTTTCTTCTTTGTATGAAACATTATCTATGTAGCTTAGAATAATCATTTTAGAATCGAACATTTAGAAAAATAATGCTAACGAGCTTGTTTTTTTACGCGAACCACTAGAATTTTAGCTACTAAAAAAAACTCGTAAAATAAATTACGCTTTCATTACTGGCTAAATATAGCCTAACTAGTTTTGTCAAATGACTAGTTCGATGTAATTCTAGAAGTACAATAGGAAAATGTTACTCGAATCATCATTATTTCTGTCGCTGTTTATAGCACGCGCGCGCACACACACATGTATATGTAAGTATATACACTGGCTGGTCACTTTATTAGGACCTATACCTAATAACAAGCTGGAACATATTTTGCCCTAATTACAACCGTGAGAGGACGTGCCACAGAATTCACAAAGTTTTGGAAGGTGTTCCGAGGGATTTTTCCTCATTTAATCGAGCAGAAGATCGTTATAAGTTCATCCCACAGATGCTCAATTGAATTAAGGTACTGATGGCAATATGAGATGCCTAACGTTTCCGTTATGTTCCTCAAACAGTACACTCACAATTTGGGGATGGTGGATGGGAACATTGTCGTCTTGGAAGCAGCAGTCCCTAATATGTTACATACGAATCATATCAGAATGGATAGATCTAAAATTATGTTGAGGTATGCTGTGCCATTCATTCTTTTTTCTAAAGGGACCAAGAGGACCAGGATATGACAGGAAAAGATGTCCTAAACCATAACTTCACCACCAGATGCATGAACAGTTAGGACCACACGTAAGGTATGGAGTGATTCACGTGGTGGCTTTCTCGAAATCTATCTTCTTACATTGGACAGTCCTCATTAGTTCAATGTCTGCTCTTCTTACATCATTCGAAGCGTTTTTTTTTCTCTTGTTGCAACGTGTTTCGACAGGTATGATTGGAGATGTACATGGAATGTCCCGCACTGAATGTTTCTCAGTTGGTGTATTGCTTGATGACAGTTGGACTTTACCACTGTATAACCACCCTGTTCTTCTTTCTGTCATTTCATGTTTGTGGCCACAATCCCCATCGCAGCAAACATTTTATTTACCTTTTGCATAGTTAAACTCGACTGACTGACGTCTTTGAGTAGCCTACCAACGACACTATCCTAACCACACTATGGCACTAACTAAATGCGCACTCTTTTGAATGCTACAATATCCTTGCCTTCCCACAGAGCTGTTAAGCTGATTGCAAATGTACTTGTATTAGTCATTTAGAGTGCTACAGGGATCACCTGACACATCAGGTGATCAACCAAAATTGCATCTAAAGTTCAGGTGAGGTCCAAGCCTGAAAGGTTACATAGGTCCTAATAGAGTGGTCAGTCAGTGTATATACCCATGGATCACCATATGAATGATGTTATTTACTAACGTTTGAATAATATTTTTCTCTTACAGAATCGAAGGCGGAGAGCTTTTTGAACGTGTAATTGATGACGACTTTGTTCTAACGGAGAAAGCATGCTCCATCTTTATGAGACAGATATGTGAAGGAGTGGAATATATGCATTCTCAAAACATTCTTCATTTGGATATGAAGGTACTTAATGATTTATAGAAATCTTAAAGTTTCTTTCTGTATTAGTTCTCGAGCTTTTAATTTTAATTCACAGTATAACGGTACATGTTTGATGGTGTACGAAGCTTTGGGATAGGTAAGTCAGAAAAATGGAAACCCTTTACGATTCGATAATCGACAGTCTTGTTCCGTTCTTTTGTTTACATCTTCAATTGTGAAAATGTAAAGAAGATAATAGAATATTAACTTCGATTCTTGAATACAAGGTAGACCAAAACGTTTACATCTAGTTTAGTTTGATTTATTTTATTCGAATATACGCGAGTGAATTTTAACGCACGAATGGAAAACTTGTTATGATAAAGTTTTACCTAGTGGTCATTGCTGCCATACAAATAATGAGATAAAAGTTTTACCAATGAACATTGCTCCCATACAAACAACGACATAAAAAGCTTTATCTAATGGACATTGCTGCCTTTTACAAGCAATGACATAAAAAAGTTTTACCTAATGGACATTGTTGCCATACAAACAATGACATAACCATAACAAATATAATTTTGAACTAATGTTTTGTTATTGTAAGAGTATATCTTTGAATATACAGTTATTATTCTCACATGTATTTACATTGTATCATGATCTCGTAACGATGACAAAGCCCAATCAAAATCTCTCATTGTATTAAAACACTCTATTTTGGAATGAGTTGTTACTACAACGATACGAATACGTACTCGCACACTACTATATTCATTATTTATTACACGTTCCATAAAATGAACTTTCATCTGTCATATGAAGGACGAAAGTTTCTAAAACTCTTGTTTTTTTACTCGCTTTTCAAAGAGGTGATGCAGAAGAAAACTTTTTTTTTTATTCTCAGCTCTTCGTTTGTGATTTTCTTTACAGATAAAGAAGCTGCTTAACATTCACTTGCAAACTTGTTTCCGTTTCTTTACAGATAAAAAGCTGCATAACATTCACCTGCGAAATTGTTTCCGTTTCTTTACAGTTTTATAAGCTGCTTAACATTCACTTGCAAACTTGTTTCCGTTTCTTTACAGATAAGAAGCTGCTTAACATTCACTTGCAAAATTGTTTCCGTTTCTTTACAGTTTTATAAGCTGCTTAACATTTACTTGCAAAATTGTTTCCGTTTCTTTACAGATAAAGAAGCTGCTTAACATTCATTTGCAAAATTATTTCCGTTTCTTTACAGATAAAGAAGCTGCTTAACATTCATTTGCAAAATTATTTCCGTTTCTTTACATATAAAGAATCCGCTTAACATTCACTTGCCTTTTATTTGAATATTTTTATTATGGTTTTTGAAAAGTAGCTGATATCTATTTTAGACAGTAGTGGTGTATTTGTGCTCTGCTGTCCATATGCTTAAACTTGTCTTAACGAATATATCTAGCCTATCCTCTGTACTTCACCTTTTGAATATACTTAAATAAGAGTACTGCTCCCAGAAAGGTGAGCCATTTACCTTTTTTATCATTAATCCGGAATTTCACTCATGACGGTATAAATCGCTTTAGTCAATTCTACAGTGTAACATTAAGCTCTACTGTATTAAGTTCCACCATCATGCTACCTAAATAAGTTTTGAAAGGTCACGTGCATTGTCACGTTAAAATAGTCTACGGAAAGTGCAAACAATCGGCGATTTGACCGTTAACTCTATCCAAGGCCCGGCATGGTCAGGTAGTTGGGGTGCTCGACTCGCAATCTGCGGGTCGCGGGTTCGAATCCCCGTCCCACCAAACATGCTCACCCTTTCAGCCGTGGGGGCGTTATAATGTGACGGCCAATCCCACTATTCGTTGGTAAAAAGAGTAGCCCAAGAGTTGGCGGTGGGTGGTGATGACTAGCTGCCTTCCCTCTAGTCTTACACTGCTAAATTAGGGACGGCTAACGCAGATAGCCCTCGTGTAGCTTTACGCGAAATTCACAAACAAACAAACAAATTCTATCCAAACACTATTCAAGAAGACACGTGCACGTAGGCCGTTTATGTAGCAAAATAGTTATAAGTGAAATTCATAAGACTGTTGTATTTATTTATTACAGTCAATTTGATACTATTATTATGTGTTAGAAGCATTCCTGAACCTTGATATATCACTTAATATTTTGGTTATGTTATAGTCTGTCGAGTGTATTTTATCAGCTCTTTATAATTTATTTATGCTTCCAGTTGTTTAGCGGTAATTTATGGGGGGTTATAACAATAAAACGCAGGTTTCGATACGTGTGGTGGGCACTGCCCGGATAGCCCATTGCGTAGCTTTGTTCTTAACTTCAAACAAACGAACAAATCGTTTATTTATAATTTTTTAACAATTCTAGATATTAAAACATTGATATGTAACAATTAGTAGATATTGAAAAATGTTATGTAACAATTTTTAGATAAGAGGAAATTGATGTGTAACAATTTTTAGATATTAGAAAATTGATGTGTAACAATTTTTAGATATTAGGAAATTGATGTGTAACAATTTTATATATTAAGAAATTGATGTGTAACAAAATTTTAGATATTAGGAAATTGATGTGTAACAATTTTTAGATATTAGGAAATTGATGTGTAACAATTTTTAGATATTAGGAAATTGATGTGTAACAATTTTATATATTAAGAAATTGATGTGTAACAAAATTTTAGATATTAGGAAATTGATGTGTAACAATTTTTAGATATTAGAAAATTGATGTGTAACAATTTTTAGATATTAGGAAATTGATGTGTAACAATTTTATATATTAAGAAATTGATGTGTAACAAATTTTAGATATTAAGAAATTGATGTGTAAGACAACAATTTTTAAAGTTTTACGAATTTGTTCCAGCCTGAAAATGTGCTTTGCGTAACGAAGACCGGAAACAGAATTAAATTAATAGATTTTGGATTCGCCCGGAAATATGAACCAAACAAAAAGATGCAAGTTTTGTTTGGGACTCCCGAATTCGTTGCCCCAGAAGTTGTGAACTTCGAGCGAATTTCTTATGGAACAGATATGTGGAGTGTAGGCGTCATCTGTTACGTACTGTAAGTATTTATTTATCCCGATACTTAAAAACTATGGACACGCCAATTTAAAACTGGGTTAAAACACAAAGCTAAAAAACAAAAACAAGATCCAAACGTTTTGCAGCAGCTGTCGTATCCTTCAGTGACATGCCATTAGTGTTGACTGTAGAACTTCTATATCAGCCAATAAAGAGCCTCTTTCACTCAATAGGGTGCGCACTCTTTCAGTGTCAAGTACTTGATAAAAATTTTGTAATCCCGTTTGCACTGTTTGTAAAGGGGGGAAAAAGGACAGAAATTAATTCCAAACCGAAAATTAACGTAAGTTATTTCTTGTTAAAGATTCTTATGATACATAAAATACAATTTGTGAGATCGCTTTGAAATATGAAAGGACCAGATTTCAGTTAAAAACTACAAAATATCACAAAATTGCACCCATTGCAGTGTCGCTAAAAGATGTCATGGAGAAACTGTCTAAATCAATGAAATTAAGCGCTGTGGATCCTAGAAGGACTATTTTACTAAAGCCCGTTCGTTAACAACGGAATAGGCCCGGCATGGCCAGGTGGTTAAAGCGCTCGACTCGCAATCTGAGGGTCGCGGGTTCGAATCCTCGTTACACCAAACATGCTCGCCCTTTCAGCCGTGGGGACGTTATAATTTCACGGTCAATCCCACTATTCGTTGGTAAAAGAGTAGCCCAAGAGTTGGCGGTGGGTGGTGATGACTAGCTGCCTTCCCTCTAATCTTACACTGCTAAATTAGGGACGGCTAGCGCAGATAGCCCTCGTGTATCTTTGCGCGAAATTCAAAAACAAACAAACAACGGAATATCGCCTTCTTCTTGTACGAAAGGCTTCAAAATGAGCTTAACGAAAAATGTAAAAAACAGATTTCTATACGGTATGTGTATGGAATAATTTAGTTTTATCTAACTCTTTACCTCTAGGGAACGCTCTAAGAAGAAATGTGTAAGATGGATATCTTTAAGGATAATCTATGTTACGTGAATATGATGACCGAAGTTAGTTGCAGTAGTCTATATATGTGTATATATCTAAAAAGACATCATATTGAAATACACGTTACCAACTTACATCCTTTAATATCAGAAGATTCGAGCAGTTTTACACATTTCGGGATGTCCGTATAGTAATGGAACCTGTTTATTTTTGGAAAACCGTATTATTACAAGAAAAAATAAAGAGAGACGAACCTCACAACACGTTTATCTTCACAAAAAGTGGAGAAACTTCTGTAAATTACTTTTCCAAAGTCTTTTTAATGTTTATTCAGTATATACATGAAAACCTATTGCTATACAGATAACCGTATTATGACAAGGCACTCATTTTTTGTTCTACATAACAATCTTATCAAATTATCAGAATGATTAGACTTAACTGAAAAAGAGCCTAGAATGAGAACAAAGCTATAAAAGTTGAAGAATTAAGTACGGTACAATGGTTAATATGACGATTGTGGAGCTAAAATTCCGTGATTATTCGCGTCTCGTCACCATCCTCACTCTTCTACAAACAGCCATTCTTCCTTTGGAGCCGTGGATATTTTTTTTTTTAGTGCAAAGCCCTCTGTTCATCGCGGGGAATCGAAACCCAGATTTTTACCGTTGCAAGGCCATAAACTTACCGCTGATACACAGCTCAAATCCCACTACTCTGTCAGACAAGTGTAGCACATGAGTGGGCGATGGGTGATGTTGACTAGCTGCCTTCTCTCTTGTCTATCACTTCAAAATTAGGGACAGCTAGCGAAGGTAGCCGTTCTATAGTTTTGCGCGAAATACAACAAACAAACAGAACATATTTAGAAAAATTAAATTAAGGGTAGACTATCGTTCTTTGAAACCAGGAATATTATAAGTAATATAAAAGCAAAATATTTTATATATTTGTTATTTTATAATATTTAAAAAAAATATTTCTAAAATAATTATCGAATATGTTATGATATTTCAATTAGAAGTATCAAAACCATCAACATTTTTTTTTTAAACCTTTGGAATCCGGTAGAGTTAAACATTCTTCTGAGGTTTTAAGAGAGTAAGCGTTTTTCACGTATTATAACATAATTCTATTAGGAAAGAAAATTACTGTCAATTGTTCCCATGTCAACACAGTAACGTGCTAAATTACTACAGTTATCAGGCACTTTGCTTTGAAAAATGTTTACTCGTTGTTAATTCAAAATAATTTTTTACAATATTAATTTCAAACTTTGTGTGACATAAAATGCGATAGTAAACTGGTTACGAACTAATTTGGAAGTATTGGCGAGTAGAAGTTGTCAAACCTACTTCGACATCTCTAATGCAGTGTACCGTTTTTCAAGGAATGTTTCTTCATAAACACATTACCATCACATAGTTCTCAGGTAAGTCAGCGGTAAGCTTATGGACTTACAACGCTAAAATCCGAAGTTCGATTTCCTGCGGTGGACAGAACGGGGATAGCCACTATGTAGATTTGCGCTAAAAACAACAACAAACACATAATTGTACTGTTAACTATGTTTTCTTTTTTCAGCCTGTTAGGATAATCATTGTAATGTTAAGTTTGTCTTTTTCTTCTTTCAGCCTATAAGGATAATCATTGTAATATTCAGTTTGTTTTTCTTCTTTCAGCCTATCATGATAATCATTATAATGTTAAGTTTTTTGTTTTTTTCTTTCAGCCTATCATGATTATCATTGTAATGTTAAGTTTGTTTTTCTTCTTTCAGCCTATCAGGATAATCATTGTAATGTTAAGTTCGTTTTTCTTCTTTCATCCTATCAGGATAATCATTGTAATGTTAAGTTTTTTTTTCTTTCAGCCTATCACGATTATCATTGTAATGTTAAGTTTGTTTTTCTTCTTTCAGCCTATCATGATTATCATTGTAATGTTAAGTTTGTTTTCTTCTTTCATCCTATCATGATTATCATTGTAATGTTAAGTTTGTTTTTCTTCTTTCAGCCTATTAGGATTATCATTGTAATGTTAAGTTTGTTTTTCTTCTTTCAGCCTATCATGATTATCATTGTAATGTTAAGTTTGTTTTTCTTCTTTCAGCCTATCAGGATTATCACCTTTCATGGGAGATAGTGACCTCGAGACCATGGCAAATGTCACAAAAGCAGATTATGACTTCGAAGACGAATCGTTTGAGCAAATATCAGATGAAGCCAAAGATTTCATTTCAAAACTTCTTCTGAAGGAAAGGAAGTGAGTAACGTCTTGGAAAACAAATCATCAGTTTAAACTCTATGTAGGCGTTCCATTTACTTTTGTTTTATCAAATGTTTATAGTTGTACTTCTATTCTTATTGACGTTATACCTCTATGATCAGTATAAATATGTAACTAGAAATTATTGAATTAAAATGAAATGAATGACTAAAGTTTTCACAGTATAATGCCGGGAAATGCAGGAACGAAAACACTGAAGAAAATCAATTATATAAAGCAGCTAATGCTAAGGTTTAGGAATATTTGTTTTTGCATTAAAAATGTCGGTATGTTACACATATAAATCAAATTCTCGAATCCTCAATATAATATTTTTGACGCTATTGGAAAGTACATTCCTTTATATTTACATGTGATGCCAAAACTGTAAAATTTAAACAGAGGTATACAGAGTGTTTCAAAAGTAAGGGTTCTAAAACATGTATAAAAGAAATGTATTTTCTGGCAGCATTCTCTACATACAACACGCTATAAACATAAACTACAATGCGAATCGAATAGGTCATTTCAAAAGACGCTTATTTCATCGTGGAGAATGCTTCTGTACTGAATAAAACAACAACAAAACCAAAACCTTTATCATGTTTATTGGGTCATCCTGTATGCATAAAACACTAAGTCTTTAGTTATGTTATCGTTCAAAACAAAGTTCTTTTACTCTAGGTACGAACCTTTAATGTAATATAACATCAAATACAAAGATAATTGGGTGATTTATTTCAAATGTTTTTTGTTATAGAATTTCATAATACTTTGCAACATTGAGTCAAGTCTGAAATTTTCTCAGCATTCACATGAAGTTTTTGAAAATTACTAATACCCTTTTTTTTATAGCTAAGTTGAGTAATATTAATGTTTATGCAACTTTTGGCAAGAATTGTACCTTTAAAATATCACAAAAACTCAGAAAATAATTTATTTCCGAAAAAGATGAAAACTACGAAGATCTTTCTTATGTAAGTAGAAAGATCCTGTGAGAATTACAAAGAATAAAGTTAAAAAGGCTAAGAACAGGATGTGATAGAAAAAAAGGTTAAAAAGGTTTAGCAGATTTACTTGTCTCAATAAGATGTATATATATTTTTTTTTAAAAAGTGTATTTTAATTTTACTTTTGTGTATGTTGTCCCTCTCTTGAACGTTGGATTAACAACCTGTATATCTTACAGGGACAGAATGACAGCCAGCGACTGCCTGAAACATCAATGGCTGAGGGTAGGTTCAATGACACCATCAGTCTACACCAATATGAATCAGAGCCCGTTCCAGGTCGGTCGGTTATGGGTTTTTTTATCAGTTCCTCGTCTCATGAGAATGAGATCTGCATCTTCCCTTCTAGCTTGGATCATCCAGCTCGTTCTCAAGATCCCATAGCCTACTAGAACTGGCCATTGTAGTTTAGTAGTATCATCAAAAGTAGTGGTCATTAAAAAGTTTACGTAGCTAACTCTGTAGATAAATTCTCGACCTGAAGCTAGAACTGACCTTTAGAATTTAATAGCTGTTCTGAAAATACCCAGATTTAACCCTTAAAAGGCCAGAAGAAGTAATAAACTTTAAAATGTGTAGTAGGCATTCCCTTGCAAGTCTAAAAAGGTGCAAAAATGACCAATAGATTTCCATTAGTCTTTTGGTAACCTGTTAACTTTACTTGTAATAGTTCATTGAAAACATTAATGCCCATAGAATAATTATGTTTGAAAAAACAACAACACAGATGACCATCGTGATATGTTGGTCAGTAATCCTGCATAATGTACCATTAACATTCTTAGAATATGTAGATTTTACTAGTGGAAAACAAACAAGCGCTTTTCTAACTATTATTCTTAGGTCATATCAACAGTCGACGACTTATGCATCGACTAATGCACACTGTAGGTTTCTAAATAAAATACGCAAATGTTCATATTTTAACTGTAGATCACGTATCGCCAAGATTTGCCAGTAACGGAAGCATTAATGATACTAACAATAATAATAATAGAATTACCCAGTAGGTACTTGGTTAAATTTACCCCAAAAAGGGGAAAATCAACGTGGTATGATGTTAACTTGGTCTATCATAGATTATCTTTAGAATGTCATTTTCAGTATATTGAAATTTAAGTTAGAAGTCTTTGATATAATTTAATTTCATTTATCTTGATGCTGTATCTAGAAGCTTTCTTTAATGCAGTTGACACTTTAGTCAAGCAAATCTCAGATTTGTTCTATGAGTTTATGCTCTGGACTTTGTGACAGCAATTCGATTCGCTAGAGGTCTTCTGAGCTTTCTTTCTTTGCCAAATAAGCTTGGAATATCTTGAAAGTGTGTTTCGGGTCATTATATTCTTGAAATACAAAATTATGCCCAATCAGATTCATTCCAGGAGGGTATAGCGCGATGGAGTAATACACTGTTGTATTTATGTTGATCTATAATTCAGTTAGATCTGTGAAGATGGCCAACTCCATTCGCTGATATTGCGCCCCAAACCACCACAAAGCCGCCTGCATGTTTGACTTTGTTTTTTGGCACAAAGCCCTCCTTCTGCAACTTTTCATCAACTCCACAGTGAACGTATTCACACCAGTTTTAACTAAACAGTTCATATTTAAACTCGTCTGTCCAAAGCACCTTGAGTCAGTTTTTTTATAAATCAGGATCAGAATATATGTTCTTTCGCAAAAGTTTAGTCTTTTTGTTATATTCTCTTCGCGCAGTAAAGGCTTTCTTGGTTCTACTCTTTCCAAAAAGCCACGTTTCTCCAGCGATCTTGAGATTGTACTTCTTGAGCCTTATATATATGTATTTATCACTTGTTAATGCAAGGCTTTTTGCAGCATTCCTTCGGTTTTACTAGGAAATCATTTTTAAACATATAAAATCTCTTTCATTGAGCTTTTATTCGGTTCTCTGACCTGTATGATGTTATAGGACTGTTTTTGTTTCTCATTTGTACTTGTCCAATGTATACTTTACTGTTCTTGTTGAACAAGAGAGCTATTTTGTAATTTTTCTTAAACTCCGACCAGCATCATTTAAAAATTTAACTCTGAATTTGTCAAAGGATTTTAGTTATTTCTGTAATGGCATATGAATGACAACAGCACCCTATATTAGCTCTACTGGACGATGTCCTTGAAAAAAAGCAAACATTGCTTTATATACTTACATGTATCTACATTAAAAACTCAGAATGGGAAAATTTCACATTTTTGTCAGTGGTTATTGGAACATAAACTAAAGATAATCACGTGTGATAATGTTGCCACGCCTTGTATTCAAATTAGACATCTTGAACGACTTTTGAAGAATCTACAGCGCTTAATTATTTGTGGCTGTGTGTTGACTTTCTGTTTAAATTATAAAGTAAATTTATGTGTAGCGTATTAAAGTCAGGGATAAAGTAAGAAAATCAATAATCTACCCATTATGATGGTTTTTGCAACATTTGAAACTACAATTGTTTTATTTTATTGGCACAACAAATCAAAACTACAGAAGCAATCGGGTGTTCTAATAAATTTGAACACCACTATATTTACAGGTTTGATCTGCTGAAACACATTGGCGTATTTTCAATTTATAACTTATCATTTCTTCAGAGAGAATCATCGTTATTTTACCTTTACAGTAAAGCCTGAACGAAGAAAACATTTTGCAAGCAAAATTGAATATCAGGACAGCATATTCAGAACTAGGAAATACTACAACGAACTTAATATTATCACGTGGTCAATACGGGGTTTATTTTCAGCATATACTGTATCTTAACCACGTGGAAACCATTTCTAAACACATGGCCGAGACGTTTTGCTTTTGTTTGTTTATCGTTCATTGAGTTTGAGTTCGAACACAGAAAGGTAACACAACGCTATGTTAAACAGTGGATAGAACACTATATATCGGGCTCCTATTATTGGATAAATTCCCCAAATATTATATATAAAACAGATTACAGGTGGTTTCAAGTTTAAGATTAGCCTCAACTGCTATCGTGAAGAAAAACTCCACATCTATCTATGACTAAACTTTAAACTTTCTTTGGTTTCATAATACCTTTTTGTTTGTTTAATATTAGTTTTCATGCAACCAATGATAAAAGCGTTCTTTTTTTGTTAAGGCGTTATCGCCTCGATTACTAAAAATTGGTGAAACACTAAATATATCGTACATTATTGAGATGGTGATCTTTATTTAAACTGATGCTTCTAAACGTTTAAATAACACGTAATTGTTACAAGTTCAGCGTTATATTTCCATAGTTCACAAAGCTTGAACCATTAACATTGGCCTTGGATGTCCCTCGCGTGTTTGGGAAAGTCGCCTATCATAACTTAGAAATTTTGAATGAAACAAAGTAAAAATTAAAGAATTTTCTGAGTTAATCTGGGATTATCAGGAACAGTAACACTATATATTGGTTTTGAGACTTTTATAATCTCGAACAGTGACTATTCGCATATGTAGAACTGATGCACCTGATAAAATTTCAAACCCAGCGAACATTTTGACTGAATACTATAGTTCCTGGTTATCTTGTAGATATATACTAAGTTCCATGTGACATGACTGTTTGCTATTTGCACTTGTGACTTAGAGTATAGTATCAAATGAAAAGGTAATTGTAAGTGTAAACAAATTCTTTTGCATAATAACATCTTATTATTAATTCGAAAGGTGAAGGATACAAATGTGATATACCCGTTAAAATACAAGGGTTGATACGGCTATTTCTTACAGTTGTCCATGTATAGATAATGATAAGGGTAAGAGATGTATATTTAAAAATTGTAGAATGGTATAAAAACTGTACGTAGAATATCTGTTCATTGTTTCTTTTAGAAAGATAAAAAGAAGGATGAAACACACTTGGATAAAACGAGATTGAAGAGGTTTGTGATTCGTCGAAGATGGCATGTAAGTCTTCATCTTGCCTTCCCGATTACATTAGATTGAGAAAAGACATTTTCATTATTTGATGGAGCACAATAAATTACCAGTAGATAGGAATTACTATCACATTTTGTATCAAAACATTCAGGTTCAAAGCTAATTACTTACATTCACTTTGCACAATATTACGCTTTTAAATTAGTTATTTCAATAAAGTAAATGACTATATGATCCATAATCACACATCTTGAAGATTGTAAGTATCAGTAAAGAATAACTATTATTCTGTCGTACATCTTGAGGAATGTAAATATCATAGTAATGAATAATTTTGTGTATTTTTTATTCTGTCGTACATCTTGAGGAATGTAAATATCATAGTAATGAATAATTTTGTGTATTTTTTATTATGTCGTACATCTAAAGGAATGTAAATATCATTGCAATGAATGACATTATATATCTTTTTATTCTGTCGTACATCTAGAGGAATGTAAATATCACAGTAATGAATCACTTTATGTATCTTTTTATTCTGTCGTACATCTAGAGGAATGTAAATATCATTGCAATGAATGACTTTATGTATCTTTTTATTTTGTCGTACATCTAGAGGAATGTAAATATCACAGTAATGAATCACTTTATGTATCTTTTTATTCTGTTGTACATCTAGAGGAATGTAAATATCACAGTAATGAATCACTTTATGTATCTTTTTGTCTCCCCTTCCCTCATTTAAATATTGTTATATCAATTTAAACTTGACGAAAGGTAATCCTTAGTGTTCAAAGTGGAATAGTATTTAACTACAGCATTTACAAATTGATATTAGAGTTTAAAGATTATGTTCTAATTAAATGTTAATATAGAAAGAATTAATCAGCTGTTGTTGATTATGTAGTGGGGTGGGTGGAGTGCAATCGTTTGCTGTCTGTTTGAAAAGTTTTTCTAGATAATCACGCTATTATATCATTCTACTTATAATTATATAAGAACTTTTTTCTCTGGATAATTTCATTTCCTTTACTTTTTTTGTATATTTTCATTACACAGAAAGCTGTAAATGCGTTTTTGGCCTTGAAGAGAATGGGAGCGGTCATTAGCCTGTAACTTAATCAGGATTTGGTTGTTTGTAGGTATGTCTTTTTAAAGGATAAGTTCAAAGAACGTTAAATCAGAAATGTATATATGTTATAGGTTCATAATTCTGACAAGAATAAAAGAAATAAGACGGACAGCTGCTAGAAAGAGTCTTAATCTTGTGAAGATTGCTTTAATAAAACATTTTCGTGGTTAGCTTGTGTAACAGGTTTATACGGCGATAAGAGAAAGAAATCAAACATTAATTTGTACCCATTTGGCTTATGTTATTACTGATTTGTTCGGACTTACAACGCTAAAATCAGGGGTCCGATTCACCTCGGTGGACACAGCAGATAGCCCGATGTGGCTTTGCTAGGAGAAAATACACACAAAAACAAGATATATACACACACACATAGAATTTCAAGGAAAAACTTCTAAGAAGCTAAAATAAATGAAATACTAATCAATCGAATTGAAACTTTGATTAAACTACTAATTAGCTTCCCCAATAGTTCAACGGTAGGTTTTCGGTTTTCTGAAGCTAAAAATCTGGATTTCGATTGTGTAGCTTTGCGCTTAACAATTAACAAACTACCAAATATATTATTTCTAAATACCACCTGGTTTGTACAGAAGGCTGTGTACAAAAAGTGGTCTTTGCTCTCAATATCTATCTCAGAGGTCGGCAACCCGCGTAATTTCATGTGGCTCTTTATAAATACTCCCCCAAAAGTAAAAAGTGTAAATTCACGATTTTAAGAATAAAAAAAATAGAGATTCAATCAAGCATACAGACAGAGTGATTTGCCGTATTTTTTATACTTTTTTCTTATTTTTTCAAATAAAAAAAAACACGACACAGTTGCACTTCACATTCGTTTCCATTTTACATTTAAATTTCAAAGCCTTTATTGCCAACACCAACAATCGTCAACCAATTAGAATTTCAATGTGAAATGTAAGCGGATGTGCCGAGGCCTCATTAGGCTGTTGGAAGTTCAACGTAACGTTAGGCAGGCGGTTAGAGCATGTTGAGGCTCTCGAAATGTTTTGGTCTTAGAGAACGCCCCCCAGTGGCACAGCGGTATGTCTGCGGAATTACAACGCTATAAACCGGGTTTTGATACCCGTGGTGGGCAGATAACAGATAGAGTGATCTGCCATATTTTTGTAACTTTTTTCTTATTTAAAAAACAAAAAAAAACGATACAGTTGCACCTCACACTCGCTTCCATTTTACATTTAAATTTCAAAGCCTTTATTGCCAACACCAACAATCGTCAACCAATTAGAATTTCAAT